GAAAGGGACCATCCTCCAGGAAAACAAGGAGCCTGTCACCCCATAAAGCCCCACTGCTCCACGATGGTTTGGCCAGCAGCACTGGAGCCAGTTTGTGGGCTGCTGGGGGAAGAGGATGAAGACAAAGCTGCTCTCCCAAGGGACACCTGAAAATCCTGCTCTGTCTTTCCAAGCACACCAGTGGGAAGGCCCCAACTGCGAATTAAAATTCAATTTGTAAAGAAACCAAGAATGAAATACGGGGTAAAAATGGAGACTATGCTAGATGACATTGCATATGAATGTCAGCTCTGTCCTAGGGTGCTTACAGGCAGCCTTACAGCCTGCAATTTTAATTGGATCACAAAGTAGAAAATGAGAATGTTTCGCTAACCAAGATGAATGGTATGACATTTGTCCTCCAGATTGGTGATGATTATTTGTGGAGATGAATAAACAACAAAGTTAAGATGAAGTTTCAGCTTCCACGGGCAAGAGGGAAGCATAAATATAAAACTTTATCCCAATTTTCTAAATTGTTCCATAAATCACGAGGGGAAAGAATCCAAATGTGGAGACTTAGGAAAAATATAAATGTTCCTGCTGACCACGTTTAACTTCCAGGATCTCAGCTGCATCAGGATTGCCAACGTGTTTTACACAAACTTTACAACCAGCCAGCCCAAAGCCTGGCAAGTTATTAGTAAACCTCCAGGAGGATTTAACAAAGACCTGAAAATTTGCTTGTAGAAGAGAGAAGACAGAGGTAGATCTTGATCTGATGTAGAACAGGCAGATATGAAATACAGGTGCCAGCACAGCTTTAAAAAAGAGTTTCTTAGAAGGAAGGATGATTTTGGACATGGTTCTGTCTTCTGGGAAGAGCTGCAAGCCACAGCTGTGCCTGGGGAGCTGGACCCAGGAGCTCTACACTGGGTGAGCCTCCAGCAGAAGCTCTCAGAAAGAATTCCTGACCCTTTTGGATATTGCTGCATTCTTCACCCAGGTGTGCCAGCAGAAAGGAAAATCTGGCTGCAGATTAAGGCTGAGTGGCCCATGGGTACCATTGCTGTGGATTCATTATTCTGGCTGTGGAGCCAGAGTTTGTGGGGTTCTATTCTCACCAATGCAGGGACAGAATCACCTGTGGCTCTGCAGGTTCCTGTGCCAGGAGCCACCTGACAGCTACTCCCACGAGTTTGTCTATGGAGACACAGAGTCATGAGGACCTTGATGTGAAAAATGTTTCAGTAAGAGGATTTCGTGACTCATCAGCCATGGGAAGAACTCTCTCTGTTCTCATCTGCCAGGGCATTCCTCAGTTTCACACAGCAACTGCAGACAATCACTGTCCCCTCTGCTCACTGCCACTAATTCTCTGCAGTTTAAATTTCAACTCATTTAAATGTTGCTTTAATGTCCTTTTATAAAGTCTTCTTCTCACAGGTTACTTAAAGCCCAAATAAAATGATCTCCCAACCTTGATCCATCAGCCTTATGTGTGGACAGAGCTGGGACAGACTGGGGGTTCTCTGAGCTACTCCACTAATACGATTCCTAGTGAGCTTCTCTGCACCAATCTGATAGAAAATAGCAACAGTGTGAGTGTGACATGGAAAAAAAATCCCATCTGTAACATTTTCTCTTCATTTTCAAGCAGTGGTGTGTGTATATATCCACTGCTGGCAGTAGGCACCTGCTCATATGGTTGGAACAGCAACATAAAGAAACATCACATGTGAGAAAACCTATCTAAATACACCTAATTTTCATCTTAATGACTGCAGTGGTCTAGCAGGTGTTTTGGGCAATTAGAGAAAAATAAACCTCCAGAGCTCCCAGTCAAAGAAACAAAGACAGCCTGAACTCCTGGAGAACATGAGGAGTTTTACCTGAGGAAAATGTGAATAAGGCTTTAAATCAGAGAGGTAGGAAGCTGCTCCCAAAAGGAGGACACACAACATCTGGCACGATGCTGGGATGCTGCACCATCTCCATCTGTGGCCCAAATTCAGGAAAATATCTTCCACATCTTTTCAGAACAGCACCCTCAGTTTAGTTCACTCTGCTCAGCCCTGGGATGCACCCACTAAAACTCATTTTCATATTTAATATTCATATTAAAGAATCAGGAGGATCCAATCTGGGCCTGAAAACCTGAAATATCCCAAATACATTTAAAACAACACCAATATAGGTGTCCTTATTTAAGAATCTGTCAAATGCTGGCAGTGTTCTCAAAACATGAATCAGGACAGAGCTATTTTATTTCCAGTGGAAATGCCTGAACCTCATTTTTAATCTGTTTCAGCTTTTGACCTGTCAGAGCCCATATGGGATGAAGCATTGAGTGAATTATGGAACATCAGCAACTTCTGCTGTGCCCTAATTATTGATCAAAGTAGAAGGCAAGCATTTGCAGAGTCCACACTTGAGTGAAATGCTTTTCCTACTCCGAAAAACAGCAAGTTCAGTGCAAGCTTTTATTCAGTGCTGCTGCTATCTATATTACCCAACTGTGACCTGAAAGTGAAAACAGCTATAAACACGTATGAATCATCTTCTTACATTAATTTTATCCAAGTTCAGACAGGTAGCCTGGATTGTTAAGCTGTTTTTACCTTACTATGCTGTGGTTCAAGCAGACTTGAGGTAAGGATATGTACATGTGTCAGTTTTAAAGCTGGCATTGTTCCTCTAACACGTGAATTAAATTAAAACAAATCTCAGTCCCATAAAAAGCTGGATTCTGCAAGCTGGGGAAAAAACCACATGCAGTTTAGTCCTGCCATTAATGCTCTCAAAAAGGCATTTTCCTGACATAAAACTCATTTTCACCCCTGTTTTGGTTTTGCAGCATGGCAGCAATAATGTTTGAGCCTGTTGGACACCACCTCACGAAACATGCTTCAAATCAGCTCCATGGGGTGAGCATCCCACTGCTGGCTGCAGCCAGAGCCCTGACACCCAGGGCTTCCAAGAGAGAAGGAAACCCTTCAGCATCAGGTGAAAGATCAAAATAGAACGTTTTGGAGCTGTCTTTTTTAAAAAGAGCTTGCTTGGATGTTGGAGTCTGGCAGGATAAATCAATGGAGGCTTCAACTTCAGAAGCCAATTTGGAACAAAAGGCAATGTAAAAACACTGAGCTGTCCCAAGGGCCCCACAAAGCCCATTTGCATCTTGTCTGTATGCTCCATGCAAGGGAGCCTAATTCCAGCACTTGCCAGCTATTAGCACGTGCTAATGAGACTCCTGCAATTGCCAGTTGAGGATGAGGACGGCAGGATTCCTCACGGAGCAGTGGGAGAAGGGTTCTGGCAATCAAGGAGCCATCCTGAAGAGGCGTTTCTCCTCTGGTTACCACTAATTAAAGCCTCTTTCGTGGCTCTTTTTAAAAAGCCTCTTTTTAAACCCCAAATTTGTGGTGGGTCCAAGCAGGCAGCGTGGAGGCAGGGTGGGTTTCAGGGACAGTCACAGAAGGGTCACAGTGAGGGTCACAGGTTTCCTGCACCTCCTTTCAGGTCAGTTCTTACCCAGACCAGGATCCCACTGATGCTGGGACACCAACTGAATAATGACCCAGAAAAATCATCCACCTTGACCACCATGAGCTAATTCTGTCTATAAGTGAGACCTGTAGGAACTGGAAACCAGAAACTGGGAAGCACTAAGTGCAAAGACTTTAGGGTATTTACACTCAATGCTTTAAGGGATTGGTCACTGTAGTTAGGCTCAATCCCACATGCGAGGCTGTCCAACCACCTAGGAGAGACAGGAACAGCTCTGTGTCCAGGAGGGACATACCCTGATGCCCATTTGGCAGCTTTATCCTGTATCCTGCATGGCAGTGAGGTTTGGAAGCCCTGAGGCAGTGGCAGCCACCAACATGACCCCTGTGCCACGACTGTAAAGTGATTTCATTACAGTCACACCCTGGCTGTGATTTCCACCTTTGGCTCAAGGAGACTCACACTTCCCTGGCAGGAGTGGTGGGAAAATGCACATCTCCTCCCCTGTACAGAGAAAATGCCCAAATCCTGCCCTGCACAGGGAAAATACTGAAATCCTGCCCTACACAGTACAGGGAAAATGCTCAAGTCCTGCCCTGCATAGGGAAAGGCCCCAAATCCTGCCCTACACAGTACAGGGAAAAGGCACATCCCGTGCACTACACAGCACAGGAGAAATACCCAAATTCTGCCCTGCACAGGGAAAATGCCCAAATCCTGCCCTGCACAGCACAAGGGAAATGCCCAAATCCTGCCCTGCACAAGGAAAATGCCCAAATCCTGCCCTGCACAGCACAAGGGAAATGCCCAAATTCTGCCCTGCACAGGGAAAATGCCCAAATCCTGCCCTGCCCAGCACAGCCCGTGCCACAATAGCAATGCTGGCAGCCCCAGCTCCACACACAGCACAGGCTCATCTCACACAGCACACCCACCACATCAACTCGGGCCTCGTTTGCATTTTGCCTGAAAAGAGCAAGCAGCATCCAGTTCAGTCAGAAATGAAAGCAGAGCCCATTCTAATAAATGGGGAAATAAGGAGCCCCAGTTCTGCTCTTGGTCACATCACAGCTCCTCTTAGGACCAAGCAGAGCTGGGAGGGCTCAAGACAGGAAGAGGGCTCTTGGAGAACAGAAGAACCTGCTTTAAGGACACGACACAGAGCACAACAACAAGGAGAGAGAGAAGTAGAAAGAGACATACTGGAGAAGCTGACCATTGCGAAATGCTGACACCGGTCTCCTGTGAATTCGATCGGACACCTACCGGAAGAGAGAAAACCAGAAAGAGAGAAACAAGATAGCAAAATGACACCCAAACAGGCTGAACTGAGGCCCCTTCTGATCCCTTCCAGCTCCTATCTGTCTGCTTTCAGCCTTCACCCTTACCTGCAGCCCTAAGCCCTACCCAAAGCTGACACCAAGAGCCATCCCTGACTAGACCACTCTACATCCACCGCTGTGCCCGGGAGGTTTTAAGTAGTGTGGTGCATTTTTTGTCTTCAAACATACTTTGCTTAGGATCTGGCATGTACAATCGCAAAGGCAGTTTCTCCAAACATCTCTGTCCGAAGAATCCATTTGGACATCTGGAGGGGAAAAGGGGAGAAATCACAGAACATGTCTGGCACAGTTTTTGAGGCTAAGGTCAGAAATAAAAAGTGCATTGTGATGAATGGAAAAAATAAAGGCTTTACATGCGTATTTACTCTTTGCTTTAACCAGACTCCTGAAACATCAGCGTTCCAGCTCTGGTTTAGGCCTGGGTCTTCAAGCAGGCAGCCAAACCCCTCCTGCTCTGTCCTGCTCTGCCTGCCTCCTTCCTTCTCACCTGCTAGAAGCACCAGGAAGACTGAGATGGGCTGGATGCTACTTTCAGAGGCCCTGTGGAGCTGCTCTGTAGGCTGGCAAGAGGCACCAAAAGCAGTGAGCTCAGGTGACAGCGAGCACTGGGTGTGGAAAGCATCTCCCCGTTATGACCCCAGAGGTACCCACGGGGTGTTCAGGGGGTGGTTAGAGAGAAAGCACGGGCAGAGTCTCTGAGTTAACAGAGGAAGGGACAGAGAAGAAGGCTGAGCTGAAGGGGTCTCACATGCTGTCCAGTGTGAGGATCTCTCAGGCTGTCCTGGTTTAGGTCACCTGATGGGCTGAGATGTGCCAGCTCATGGGCACCAGCTGCACATTCACGGGTGCTCAGGTGGCAGAGAAGGTGCCCTGCAGGCAAGGGCCACCAGGCATTGCTACCAGCCCATGAGTAGCTCTCCAGAGCACTCCCCAGCTGAGCCAGGTTTGGGGAGCACAGGGCCATGGGTGCAGCAGGAGCTGCAGAACCACCCAAGGTGAGCAGGACCTGCATCCTCTGCACTGCAGCTGCAGGTGAGCCTGGGAAGTGATGGGAGCCCAGCCTGCCATGGTCAAACACTTCTCCTCCCTCCCTCACTTCACATCTTTTCTTCTGGATATTCCTTGGATAGTCCTCCACAGCATCCATAGTTTTCTTGAAGTCTCAGGTTTCACCTCCCTGTCTCACAGCTCCCTCCCTTCTCAGCAGACCTCTCTTTCCTCTGAGCTTAAGAGGGCTTTATCTTTATAAAAGTTTTCCAACTTTTCGTGAGCAGAGCTGCAGGCTCTGCACCTGGTACACATCAGAACCTTCCTCACTCTCAGATGCCACCCACAAGATCTCACTGTCCCACAGTGATCTGCAAGTGGTCAACAAGGAAGGGACTGAAAGACACCTCAGTAAAACACAGATGAATCAGAGGCCAAGTCTGATGTCAGTGGCTCAGCTCCTGGCCAGGCCACTGCAAGGGACAGCAAGAGGTTGGAGCAGACACAGCACAGTGTCAGGAAACTGCTCCCAACCTGTGAATCTGGTGGGGTGGGAAAGGTCCAGGTCCAGGTCCAGGTCCAGGTCCAGGTCCAGGTCCAGATCCAGGCCAAGGCCAAGTCCAAGTCAAGGTCCAGATCCAAATCCAGATCCAAGTCCAGGTGCAGGTTCCATGCAGAAATCCTTGATTTTTAGCAGTTGTACTTCATCATGGACATACTCTGACCTGGCTCTGGCACTTGATTTCTTGCTGGATTTCACTGTAGTTTGGCTGGGCTTGGGCTGTGCAAAAAAACCTGCTGCACCCTCACTGTCCATGATTAAATGTGGATCAGCATCTGGGTTTTTGGGACCTGGGCTAACACCTCAAAGTGGGATTGTGTCGGGCTATTTGTACACTCCACTGCTCATGGAGAACTTCAGGGCATGGCTCTGCATGAGGCTGCACTGAGCTCTCCACTCATACACTTCAGTTTCTCAGTATCCAAGTCACTTCTGAAACTGAAAATTGAGCTCCCTGGTCAGGCAAATATCTTTGAAAAATTGGCACTTTCTTCTCATTGTTGGACATTCATCTTGGAGCACTGGAAAGGGAGATGTACCAGCCACACCAGGGAAAGCTCAGCCCAAGAGGTGGCCATCACACATGGGGCCTGTTGAGCTTCCCTGCAATGAAGCAGAGGAAGATGGTGATGGGAAGTGAAGAAAATGCCCCTTGTCAATGAAAAAGCACAAACCTGAGGCACTGGGTGGCACAGAACAGCCCCAGGGAGGCAGGACTGGAGAAGCCCTTCAGAGATTGCACTGGGGTTTGAGCAAGGAATCCAAAAGAGAAAATGTCTTCCCAATCCTTTTTGAATTTATTCATCACCTCTGATAGAGTCAGGAACTTATTCACAGAGTCTTCAAGGGAATCCAGTTTAGCTTGCAACGTGATCTGTCTGGGGTCTGAGATTTCCTGGACATTGTGAGCACACCACAGGGCCTCAAGGGAGCTGCTGAATGAAGCAATTATCCCACCCACCCCAAAAAAGGGGTGTTTTGTCAGAAAGGAGCTAAAACTATCTCAGGTGCACATCTGCAAGAAGTCAGCCAAGGCTGGAACTCCAGTGAGACAGAGGCTGCATGCCATTAAGGAAAGCCTGGAAATAATGGGAGAACTGGCAGAAGGAAATAAAAGCCCAGAGAAAGGAATTGGTAAGAAGTGAAAAAGCAAAACAAAAAGGTGTAAAGGAAGCTTTGATGCCATGACAGCTACCATATAGCCCATCTTCAGATCTCTGCAGTCAGGCAAGCGTGGGTGGGGAGAAGAGCTCTCAAGACAGAAGGCAATAGACAACTTCATTCTCTGTGTCTAGGACAGCTCAGGCTTTTCATCTTTAGTTCCTCAATGATTCAGCACTGGGAGAAGTGACAGAAGAAAAGCCCCCCCTGAACAAGAGCACCTTCTGTCACCTCTCAAGCCTGTGTACAAGCTGTCAAGACAATGTGCCACCCCTGCCTACCTGGGTTCTGGTTCCTCATAAGCAAGGCTGCAGGCAGAAGCAGTGACCAGAAGACCTTTGAAAGCATCCAGTGCTTTTGGTTCCTTTTTTTAAAAACCTGTCTCTAACTTCTAGGCTGCTGAAGATGATTTTTTATTTATTACTGTAGCCCCAGATGTGACTTAAAGGAAAGAAATTTCCAGCGTGCTTGGCACATGGGTGTCCCAGTCTGGACAGGAAGAGCAGTGGAGATCATCCCTTCTGCATGAAAATCTGCTGCCTGTGGTGAGGGCAGCTCTTCTGCAGTGAGGGATTTACCTGAAAGTTCAGGCTCACTGAAGCTGAGAGCTGTGAGCTGGTCTTTGATCATGGCATCCTTCTTCCTGCACCTTTGGCTCAAGAGGTTCTGGGTGGCTGTCCCAGCAAAACCAAGTCCCTCCTTCTTTGCAAAATTCTCACAAGGACTTCACAGATGGTGGCCTTTCCTGCAAATGTCACCTTTGGACTTTCTGGTGCACTCACAGAGGCACATTGGGTCTCTCCCCAAAGGCCAAGGGAAGTGGACAAGAGAAGGAATGGGGAGGGACAAGGCTGCACCAACCTCTTGCAGACAGCACCTTGTCCCCTCTCTAGCCTGAGTGGAGACTCCCAAAACTGCCCTTGCTTAATTCCATCTCTCTGGGTCTAATTGCTGCCTCTGAAAATTACTTGCAAATGCCATTGATAAAACCAGTTAGAGATATTTCTGTCCAGATTCTGTTTTCTATTATTGCTGGAAAATATCCCATTATTTTAGTTTTGACCTTAAGACCTTTTTTTTTTTTTTTTAAATAACCCCATTTTGAAAACATCCGCAAAATTCTGCTCTTGGGTTCAGGATGAATTGCAGTGAGATATTTACATGGTAACAAAAATGCAGTAAGATGATCAGTCAAATAAAGCATCTCAGAAAGTGCAAACGAAAATAGTTTTAATGACTCATTTCTATGATGTTTGCTGGGCACTTATTTCTGAAAATTGAGGAACTTCGACATTTTGCCCTGTATCAAGGCAGGGCAATAATTATTGTTAATTATTATTTGCTACTTTTAATTCATTATCAGAGTCTTCCTGCTGGAAGCAAAACTTTTTCTGTCCAGCTGTTGCTCTAAATCTTGCAGGGGTAGGCACATTTCCTTTGCACCCCCAGATCTTAATTAAAAAATGCCAAATTCGGTGGCTCTCATAAAGCAATCCATGCTACAGACAAATGTGAATGAGCAGGTGCTTCAAAATGATGCAATAAAGACAAGCTGTAGCAGAAGGACACAATGCACTGAAGTAAGCAAATGGATAAAAAAAAATGTTTCAAGCACGTTGCTTTTTTGTGGGAATGGCTGAAAAAGAAGACAGTTCTGTCATTGTCCCCTGACCAGTCCCAGATGATCAGGCTCTGGAGAGCCACAAAAGGCAAAATCACTGATGGGGAGAAGAGAAAGCAACCAGAATAAATGCAAAGGCCTTCTCCAGAGCAGCTAACCAAGGCATGTTTGCTGCAGAGGGGAGTCCACAGGGCAGGGACATCCACGGCTGGGCTGGGTGATGGCAGTGGCTGCAGGACATGCAGGACCTGCAGGACCTGCATCGCTGCCCTCCCTGAGCCCCTGGTGCTGCAGGATCAGCTCCCACACTCTGCTGGGCCCCAGGGGTCTGACACAGTCACAGGGATGGAGCACCAGGCGCAGATGGGGCCACCTGAGCCTGGAAAGGTGCCCGACCTCACCACCCAAGATAAACAGCATGCAAAACCCAGGCAGCGAGTCCCGGCTGGCTCGGGGGATTTGGAACAGGATGTGGAGGTTTTCACCCCTAGCTCTTCGTTTCCAAGGGCGTTGCAACACCTCCCCACAGGACAGCTCGTACACCCGTGGCACAGTGACATCCCTGCGGCAGAAATGCCACCAAACGCCACCGGGAGGGTGGAACAGCTCCGGATGCCACAGGGCAGCCAGGAGGATCCATGCAGGATCCCTGGGATAGTCACACCTGTGGATGGGGCTCTGGGGAAGCACAGGGGAGCTGGCAGTGTGGCCAAGCCTTCAGAATGATCTTTCCCTTTCCTGGGAAAATCTGCAGGAAGCAATACACTTGGAGGAGGTGAACATGTGATTTTGAGAACTGGTGACTTGAATTCATCAATTAATTTTAAAACGATCTGATCTTTTCTCCTTTGGCTTTGTTCTGTTTTTTATTCTCTCCTTGACTTTCACTTTTTGCCTGAGGTGCTCCAGGCCTCTGACCTGCCTCCCCCAGGTAAGGCAGAGCTGTCACCCCAAACCCAGAGAATTTGTTTATCTGTCAGCATTTGCAAATCCTCCAGCCTGAGTCTTGCAAGCACAACTGGTCCAACACCATGTGGGGGTGTTATTATTCTGTAACATTCTTCAGGTCTGCTGATCCCACACAAGATCCTGGCCCAGGGCAGATCACTTTGATTCCACTGACCACACAAAAGAGATGTGAAGAGCACTTGAGTGGGCAGAGGAGGCTCTGCAGTGATGAGACCTGACTTGCTTGCTTTGTTTGGCTGGGAAGACCCCAACTGTTCCTAACGTGAGCCAAGATCTAATTGGGAAAAAGAGCATTTCTGCTCTTTGGATAGCACAACCCAGTGGGACACCCAGCAATAAAAGATTAGAGCAGCCTCCAAGTGCTCTAGGTTGTGCCAGGGACTCACTGGGCTCCAGGATGGAGGCAGATCCAAGAGCAGAGGCTGCCAGTCATCCCAACACTCTGTTTGACTGGACACAACAAACCAGGCACCACTGCTGTGTGTCCCAGCCCAGCTCAAGGCCTGGAGACTTGCTGCTGTGCATCCCCTTGGTGGCACCTCGGTGTGCTCTGCTCAAACCTGTCACTGCCCTGGAGTCCAGCTCCTAAAGCCTCTCTGAGCAAAATGATCTGAAGAAGGGTCAAGAAATTCTTCCAGTCAAGAGCCTGGGGTTTTTTAATTTACAAGGGCTGCTGAGTCAGTTCTGTCTGTGTGTGGCTCTGTCACTTCCCAGGTTTATGTGGAAAAATTGCAGAATATTTGAGGCAGGTCCCGCTTCTCCCATCTAACCAGACCAGGTGGTCTGTTTGCAGAGTCAGGATAACAGCACAGATTGCTCTATGTTCAGGTTTCCTTTGACACCAGCATGTGGAGAATTTACTTCAAATTAAGGACAAAATTATGGAAGAACACAATCCAGAAAGACCCAATTTCTGAAACAGATCCAAGCCCATTCTGGGCTCTTCCTCAGTGAAGAAAATGCTTTGTCCAAGGTCTATCTGAAGTGTATTAAAAAAGGAGGGAGGAAGTGGGATTACAAGCAAATACTTTGTTCCTCAGGATTTAAAAGACCAGGAGGAACATGTTTCTGGGAAGCCTGTTATAAAATAATAATAAAAGGCCAACTGCCAATTTAGGCGATATTTGTTGCAAATCGAGCATGAACCACATCAGGAGAAGAAATTATTTGAGAACTCATCTGCTGTTTTTGGTCCAGATTGCCAGGGGGAACATCTACAGGAAGGATTTCCTGTGCTTCTGGACAGCTGCAGGGATGGAACCCGCTCCAAGAAGCTGATCTCAGGATGGTGACAGGCAGTGAACAACAACACCCTAAAATTCTGGTACCTGGTGTTGGAAACACTCCACGTGGGTGTTGGGGAGGTTGAATCCCCTGAGCATTCAGTGAGGGAGGGCTGCAAGCTGGCACAGGGGTCCAGGTGATCCCCCAGGTGATCCCCCAGGTGATCCCCCAGGTGATTCCCCAGGTGATTCCCCAGGTGATCCCCCAGGTGATTCCCCAGGGCTCTGCTGACTGACTGGAACAGTGACATGGAAACAGCACAGGGACAGGAGCTGCTCTGGCCAGAGCTGCTCATGTGGCTCTTGGTGATCCTCAAAGCATTTGAAGAGGTTGTGAGCAGAACCCAATAATCTCTTCATGCTCCTGGCATGCTCAGAGGCACAGTGGGGCTGGAGGGCCAAGGCTGCAGTTGCAGAGATCAGAAATGAACTTTGAAACCTGAATCTTTGCCTCCTCTCCTTTCTCCTCCTGCATCTCTCACAAACCACAGCAGCAGATCTCCCTTCTTGGTGCAACATATCAGCTCTTTGTTTTGCTCTTTGTTTATTCATCAGCATCTTCCCCAAAAATCACTCTTGTCATTGGGAGAGCCATTTTATGGGAAACACTCTTCAGTTCAAATGCTTCTGCCTTCCTCAATAACTATTATCCTCCGGAGTCCAGAAACTCTAAAATTACACCACTTCAAAAGCCAGGTTTTTCTTATCTTCAGTCTGAGATTTAATGATAAAAACACCCAAGGAGAATGAACATCCCGAGATCTCCTCAAGCAGTGGGATCAGAAGTGTCTGTGCTGTGTGGAAGGCACTCAGGTCCCCGGGGTTTCTGTGAACACGGAGCCACCTTTCCTGGCAGTGGAGCAGTGACAGTGCAGACCTTGCCAGCACCTCCTCCTGGGGAACACTCTCCTGCCCTTCCACACACGCCTGCTCAGCTCCCATCTGGTTTTAGCAATTGGCACCTTGGAACTCATCAGAAAAGGATAACATTTTACCATCTGCAAAGTGAGGAATTCAGGCTTTCAAATGGTATGAAATAATTAGGTCTGTTTGGTGTGGCACATTAAATCTTAATGGAATCCATCACTGAGCGTTCCCTCTGTTGATCAGCTGTCAGGCTGTTTCTTCATGAGGCTGGAATTGCTTTGGTTAAAACAGTCTGCTGAAGATGTTTGGCAACTACCACAGTATCCTTCACTAGGAAAACGTGATTCTTATGGATGCTAGGAGTTTAGGTAACTCTTGTTGCAATTAGAAATCGATCCCGTTTGAATCTTGATCTGGATTTAGGTTCTTCCCAAAAGAAGTAGCCTTGAAATCTGTGCCTCTGCCATGACCACATTGCTTACAGATATTGATTCATACACTCCTCCAGACTTCCAGGGTTCAGCCCTTCCCAGAATGGAAAGATTGGAATTTCTGGGGCTTCCTGGGCTACAACTACCCCAGAATGGTGGCTGTGACTTTAACCATCACATGAGGCTTCCCCCCTGTTTCCTGTGTTCCCCACAAGATGAGCCCATGGTGCCACCAAGAAGCCAATGGCAGTGACAACTCCAGTAAAGGGCTGTGGTGGACAAGGGCTGCTCCCACTCCATAAACATGGGAAATGTGGAAGCCACAACTTCTGTTTTCTGTCCCATCCAGCTCTTTCTAAGAGCAAAGGAGTGAGTCTGGGAGAACTGGGACATGCTCCTTCCACCACAGCTGACCCTGCACTGCAAAGTGAGAGCACAAGAGCTCAGCAGGATGCTGGCTCCACATGGCCTTTGCTGCTGCTCCCTGCTGAAACAAAGGAGCACTGGGAGAAGGGAGGAGCTGTGCTCAGCATGATCCAGCTCACAGGCTTTCCATGAGGGGTTCAGGTGAGTCCTCCAAGGCCTGAGGAGCTGAGGTACCTGATGAGCATCACATCCTGCAGTGCTGCTGGGCTGGCATCCACAGGTGAAAACACCTTTGGCTGTGTGTCTCCACTGGGTGGTCTCTGGGTTCCAAAGGGAGAAAACTGTCAGCTCTGGGCTTCTCCAAGCTGGGCAGTGATGCCTGGGTCACCAGGTGAGCTCAGAAGAGAATTCCATCTGCTCAGTGAATGCACACCCAGGGCACCACCTCCTGCTCACTGTGCAGGAGCCCAGGGGCAGGTACAGGTGAGCTCTGGGTGCCTGCACCTCCAGCACTGGCAATCAGACTGCTCAGCTTATCCACAGGCACTGTTAAACTTGGGGGGGTGAGGTGTGAGATGCTATTGGCCTTTCTGGCCCTGAACCAGGAGTGAAAAAGTCTCACATCCCATTCCACATCCCTCAGGCTGTACAGCCCCACTTCAAACTCTTCAAAGCTCATTTTAAGGATAACTTAGTACATGTCTCTGTTTTTTTCTTGCAGGTTTGAAGGGGGAAACAAACATCCCACAGTGGCCACAAAGCTGCACAGAGAGGGGACCAGCTGGGGGTTAACCCTGGGCCCATGAGATACAGGAGAAGTCGGGGCAGGTCTCAGAGAGGGACCCCTCCAGACAAGGGAGAGGGAGGAGGCTGTGCCCTGAAAATCCCCCTGACTGGAGGACAGGATGTGTCAGCTCAGGGAGAGCAAAAGGGACCCAAATTCCCCTGAAGCTGCAGAGGAGAAGGGGGAGAAAGGGCAAAGAAACAGCCAGGACAAACATATTCTTAGAGGGAGAAAAGCCAGGAAAAGTGAACAGAGACACGCACACAAAAAAAGAAAATACAAATCCTTGGCCCCCCCTGCCCCTCGAGTGCCCCTTTCTGAACTTGCACAGCTGAAACTGCAATTGCCAGGAGAATTTCAGAGCTTCCCCCCCACTCTGGCACTTGCACAAAGGTCTCCTCTCCCTCAGCCAAGAAATTTCCATATTGACACAAGAACTCCACTCACTTACTTGCACGACAGCTGATTAATCCCCTCGATGTAGTAGCACACCCCTCCATTGACACAATAGGACTTGGCTGTTTCGTTGCATTTTCTGGCATGCCCGGACCAGGAGGAGAGAGTTGTGGTTACTGAAGGGGAAACAAAAACACACACAAAAAGGATATATTGTTATTTCCCTTGTTGGGCAATTCTGCTTCCTTAGATGATTTTCTACGAGTTCCTTTGCCAAAGTAAAAACCCCAGAGCTACAAACCTTAACCTGTGCCTTCAGACCCACCTTCAGGTCCCAGGGCAGCAGCTTGACCCTTCCTTTCCCAGAAATGGGCCAAGTGAGTGAGGGGTTGAAGACTCATCTTCCTCCAAGCAGCCAGCACGTGGTACAAGATCATTTTTTTGGCAAGCTGTAGGGAAGTGCCCCTTTCCCACTGTCCTTGCCCCTCCCTCATGCCAATGAGGAATGCTGTGCCAGCAGCAAGCAGGAGGTCAGGAAGGAGCTGCAGAGTCACAGTGATGTGCTGCTGAGTCCTGAGTACATCAGGACACTGACCCCAGACCCAGAGGTGCTGCAGGTGACTTTGCATTGCTCCACACCTCTGCCAGCTGAGTTTTCAGAGCCAGGAGCAGGTCTGGCACAAGAAAGAACAACTCCATCCATCCATCCATCCATCCATCCATCCATCCATCCATCCATCCATCCATCCATCCCTCCCCTGTCCTGAGCATTCCTCTGTCCTGACACAGCTGGGCTGCCCCAACACACCCTGCAGAAATGAAGTCAGCCAGCCCCAGCTCATCCTTCAAGGGAGGCAGCCAGCATGACTCAAGTTTCCTGGGATACAGGTGCCTTCCCAAATCTAACCTTCTTTCTGGAGAAAAGCTTTCCAGTCCTGTAAGCAACAAGAAAACCTGAAGGTAGTCTGCAGAATTTCACTGTAATTCTTGTCTCTGAGAGACTCTGATAGGCTTACAGCCCAAAGCAGAGTCTCCAAAGGTAAAACAAAGGTTTCTAGGAAGGAAAAAATCAGTTGTTAGAGCACTGACACAGGTTACAGAAGGTGAGCAGCTCTAGGGAATGCAGACCTATCTTCACATAAGTCTAAGAAGTGCTGGGCACTAAAAAGAATGGATTCTTTACAACTGAATACTTAACCTCATTAAAAATAGTTCCCTTTCCTGGACTACCCACCTTGCTCAGACCCTATCACAGTCACACCTCCAGCAATGTGGCTACTGCCTACTTTGCACCACCTTTCATGCTGTAGCCAAGGCTTCTGAGGAGATATTCTCCTCCATCCTGTTTTCCAAAGCATGAACAAGAGGAGAGGTTAGTGACACCATCACTGAGACTGAAACTCCTCACTGACACAGGACTGGGGGATGAAAGCTTGAACCAGAGGCGGGCAGGAGCCAGCCAGAGCCACAGGAGGAGCAGCAGGACAATCCATGGCCAGTCCTGGAGGGAGCCAGGGCTGCTCCCCACTCTGGGGCAGCCCCTGTGCTCATCCCAAACCACCAGGATGGCTGCAGCCAGAGCCAAGGGCTGCATTCCCAGCTCCAGCTGCAGCTGGAAACATCTGGGCTCTCCCAGACCAAGGAGGGCTCCCAGCACCCTGGGAAGCCTCTCCCTTGTGGGTGATGCACAGAACAGAAGACAAGTCTGTTCTGGCTGTCACACTTTGGGGACTCTGCACTCCTGTGAAGGAGGAGATTCCCACTGGGCTGTGCCCAGCTGGAGCAGCCCACCCTGTTACCTGTGCATGGCTCAGGGCAGGGCCAAGCTCACTGCTCAGCTCGGTTGAAGCCATGTGCTGTCCCATCCATTGTCTTCCATTCCCATAAGGAAGTGGATGCCTCCCACTGACTGACAGGCTGGGGCTGTGCACAGAGCAGAGCTATTTCCATGCTTTGCCTTGAATAACCACTGCCTCTGGCTCTGTCTTTTCACAGTTATCCAGGGCACAGCAAGTTGTCCCAAAGTGCTCTGCTGACGAGACATGGAAAACACTCCAGCAGAGACCCAAAATGCTCACAGCCCTGGGACAGCAGCTGCTCCCTGAGGGCACGTCCTGCCAGCCAGCTGGGAGCCAAATGTGGACAGCAATGTGCACTCAGTGGGGTGTTGGAGCAGAGGATGGCTTGACCAAGCCTCCAGTGAAACTCTTTCAAAAATCTGAATCCCACACTTCTGCAGGAAATTCAGCACTCCCTCCCAGTTAAGATTAATGGTAACTTAAAAGCCAAAGCCATTATGAGTCTGTGTAATTTATCTGGGGAATGCAGACTCATTATACAGACAAGACTTTATAATTTATACCTTTACAAGATAGTAGCACATTTCTACTCAGGAGAGGAGAGTTGTGGGTCCCTGATAAGTGTGGGTCTTTGTAAGTGTACCATCAGACCAGGGAGCACTGAAACTTCATTGCAAATTGAAATGTGGATGAAGAACAAACACAGGCTGCAGGGAGCTGTCACTCCTAAAACCATCAAATATCACTTGGTAGCAAGCAAAACGATCCATCTGGCAAAGTCTCACACCATAAACCCTACAGGGAATGATTTTGGAGCAAACCTTGGCACAGCAAGAGAGGGGCAGAGAGGGAGAACTGAAAACAGAGCCCAGAAACCTCCCCAGATAAGAAGATCTCCAACCCACCAAGAAAGGTGGATGGGAAGATGCAGTGCTGTGTGATGTGATACCAGGGAGGATTAGAGTGCTCATCAGCCAGAGACTGCATGGGATCTTCATCCCACAGAAACAGTTTTGTCCCTTTTAAACAGCTACAAAAGAGCCTGACATGGTTGAGGCTGGGGCATGTTGGGCACTTCTAGAGGAGAGCTGTCAGTGGAGCTGTGCCTGTCAGGAAAATATGTGGCTGATCACCTCTGCTAGAAACATCTTGCTAATGTCATTATCCTTTAAACCCTCTTTTCTGCAAGTACCTTGCCTTTTATCCCAAAGAAGCACAGTGTTTTAAAGCTGAATCATGGAATCCTATTTCTCCAGTCCATTTATCAGCACAGAGATGTGGCAAAGGCCACAGAGAGAGGCAATTTCCTGTTGAGAAGAGAGCATCAGGAAATGAAGCCATTCTAGACTATAAGACTGGTCAAGCCAAAGCCTTGCCTTGGCCCCAACAGTGGCAAAGCTTAAAAAAGAAGATCAGCAGGAGCACACAATGATAATCTTCCTTAGGCCACCCAGGATGGGCAGCTCAGAGACAACCCAAGGCAGCCACAGTGATGTCACATTTAGTGGCATTTGTTGGATTCTTCCATCAATGTTTAGTTGCTGTTTGAACAAATCTAATCTTGTAGTATCCACAATATTTGTGACAAGAGCTCCAGTGCTATGCACACAGCGTGTAAGGTCACATCTCCATTTTGATTCTTTTCACCTGCCCTTTCCTGGCTCTTGTATTAGAAAAAAACTAGTCATTACCCCCACTTGTTTCCTCTGTGCTACCTGTGATATTACAGGCACAGCCAGCATCTCCTTCCCTAGCTGAGAAGCAATGATCTCTTTTTATTCTTTTTTGGGTCATCCCTGGTTCTGTTTTTCTCTTTGGACATAGTGAGACCGTACTGCACACATGGTATTTATGGGATATTTATTCCAGTCATAGGAATACCTAATTTTTTATTTTTTTTTTTAGGTTTGATGTACTGAATACAGATATTTCTCTCTTATAACCCTGAAATCTCACTGCTATGTGGCAGCTGGGGCTTCACATTCATGAGAGCAACTATTTAGGGAGCAAGGATGGAGAGACCTGCCAAGCTCTAGTGAGAGGACAAAGGGATGGAAAATGTCTCACTTAGAAAATGTTAATTGTGCCTGGGCTGCAGCGTGGTCTCTGACACCCTGTGGCTGCAGATCACAAACGAGCACCTCAAAGCACAATGCCAAGGGAGATTTCAGTTTCCACCACACTAGTGGGATAATTCCCAGATTCACAAGTTACTTTGTGTTTATGTCTATTCCCCATCAGCCTGGGCCACTGCAAATACTTTAACAACTGCATGCCTGGTCCAGAGTCATCTGGGATGTTGGACATTGGTAAAGTGAACCTCACACACAGTTTATTTACAGCCCTGCAGGTACTTTCACCTCTGTGCCAAGCACTACACAGCTGTGCCTGGTGATCCAGAAATTACTTCCCACAGCTATTTCACATTAACTGCTGTACAGCACCAGGCAGATTTTACCCCCCATTGGCTGGTGTGGCAGAGTAAGTCCTTCATTCAGCCTCCAATACAACTCCATCTATCCCAAATGACTTGGAAAGTTGTAAAATTGCTGAGATGAGCGGAGAAGTGAATAAGCAAGGGAACAGTTTTGGGTGGTAGCAGAGTGGAACAGGACTCGTGAAGGCAGTGGGACGTGGTGAGGGGGTTGTGCAGTAACACCAGTCATGTACCAAGAACCTCCCCAAGTATTTAAATTAAAAGCAGAAAACCAGGAGTGTGCATGAGGCAAGCAAGTGGTGACATTTCCTTTTGACCAGTGGGAATAAAGGAGGTGCCCCTGAGACACACAGTGGCAAAGTGGCCAGAAAGCCCCTGCAGGGTGAGAGAAGGGCTGGAACTCCTCACCCTTCAGCAGGTCAGACCTCCAGCTGGTCTTCAGTCCCAGGACTGAGAACAAAGCAGGAGGGAGGGAGGAGTGAGGACCAAGAGAGGGGAATAAGGAGGTGAAGAACAGAGGGGAGTAAGGAGGTGAGGACAGGGAAAAGAGGGCTGCCTCTTGATGATGTGTTTGTGAATGATCTGCAGCCACGTTTTATTGTTGCTGCCCCAGCCAGTGAGGACAGAGCAGCATAAACACACGAGAGATTGAGAGCACTGGAGTCATTCAGAGAGTCTGTTTTCCACCACATGCCTCAGTTATTCTGGACTATCATCAATGACAGGGCAACAGAGAAGAGAGCCAGGGGCAGTGACTGTGCCAGGTGGACTTCCCTTCCCACAAGCCATCCACGCAGAAAGGCCATTAATGATTGTGCAGGGATTCTTACACAATTCCTGCCATGCACGTCATTTAACCTTTGCAGGCAGCTCAGCAGCCTGTTCTCAGAAGTCTGGTGAAATACTCCCCCTGCAAAGAGTTAATTAATGCAGCTTGGAC